GCTACGGAGTGGTGGGTCAAACGAAGGCCACGCGCTTGAGAACTGACTCGCAGGGTCCTGTGGTACATGTTGAAGTCTTGGGCAGTGGTATCCAAAGCAACATTAACATAAACCCTAAACCTTTAACCTTTAAACCCACGTAAGTAACATGAGAAATAGATACTGGCTTCCACGGCAAGTACACTTCACCAAAAGCCCCAGCGGATCCTTGCTTCAGGTGATCTGCCTGGATGACTACCACACCAATGACCGTGCGGGCCGCAAGGTGGGTTTAGGGTTTAGCTCAGGTCCCAACATTGGCTGAACTTCAGCCCTTTCTGGGGCCTTGATAAACCTTAAACCCTAAACCCTAAACAGTAGTTTCCATTTTCTTTTCAATTGCCCCAATATAACCCCCTTTTTCTGACCCAAGGAACTCAGCAGCTAGGTTGGGGCTCATACCATGGGATCCCGAGAGTTGAGTCCTTCTGCACCCCATCCATCATCCCGAGACCAAGCAGCTTCCCTCCCCCTATCATTTGGGTCCTATATACCCCTAGAATCCCTAGAAGGTCCCTATATATCCGTATGTATTCCCCTATAACCCATTTAAAGGGACCTTATTATTTTGTCCTTGGACCCTTAGGGTGTTGGATTGGCGCTTCCAGACAATCTACAGAAGTCTTTGTCAGTACGGTTCACCACATTGCTGTGGCACATCCTGTAGGGAAGAGATCCTCTCTCATCTGTTTCGGCGGCCGTTTTCTGACTTTCAGCCCAATGTTAGAAGACCCTGCTACATGTGATTCGATCTTAGGCTCTTAGCAAATCCAGACGATCCCTTCAGAGTATTCATAGTCCCCACGGGCCTCAGAACCTTGAAAGCCGTATTCAGGCCGCAATTGTTCAGTCTCCCGGGGCCCCATTCATACGGGGAGGGGCCCGGCCCCTGAGATTGAAGGAGGTGTGACACATATATGCGCAAGCACCCAGTGATCTGTTCCCAAATGTGAAAAGTCTCATTACAAAAGAAGAGCAAAACAGGGGTTCAGTTTCTTGGGTTAGCTGCCAGTCTGAAGCTCGCAGCCCCTGTCCATCCACTAGGTTACATGTCCAGGCCTCAGAAATTCCACCCTCTTCCAAAAGATGCTTGGAGATTTGCGGATAGCTACAGCAAGGGCTATACGGACCAAGATCAGGCAACAACTAATTCACAGTCATCCTAAAAACCCTAAACCCTAAATCCTAATCTCTAAACCCTAAACCCCAAACCCTAAACCCCAAACCCTGCACCCCAAATCCTAAACCCTAAACCGTAGAATAGAGGAGTTATATCTGCCCCTCAGCTTCTAAGCTATGCCTGGAACCATCAGGCCTTCCACTCCCCAAATCAAGCATGTAACCTCCACCCTGGGTTTAGGGTTTAGGGGTCCAAGGACCCAAACATCAGGGCTATACGATTGCTATTACAGTATCTGGGCCCTAAAACCCTATTATGTGGAATCCATGCTACGCCTTGAAACCAGCGCCACCGCCGATCTCAGGTCGTAGCATCCCTATACTACGGGGGGGCCTACATGACAACCCATATTATAGTATTAATGAATCAGGAATGAAATGCATAAGAACGTGAACGGGAACATGCAAACTGGATTTGCAAAGAGGTTTCATAGAGGAATTGTACATATTGAGGTTGTAGGTTCTTTGAAGAAATATTGTCTAGCATGTGCTCTGAAGAGGCAACTGGCCTCACCGCGCTTGATGCCCGTGAGTTACTTGGCATGACCGAGAGCAAGCTGCGGCATTCCTCTAGAGTTTGGGGCCGGTCACAGGCAGGCCCTATAGCGGGGCCTGTCCTCTACATCTTTGGCAGTATGTGGAGAGACCTAGCTTTCAGAAATGCTCAGCTCTGTCAATGCCAGGTTTAGGGCGAAGTTAGGGTGGAAGGTTTGGATCAGGAGGCGCTTCAAGGGTGGCAAAATGGTGCTTCAACCAACTGGTGTTGTCCGGAACCTCCCTTGAGGCCCTCAATGATGACTGTGAACAAATTGTACACACTCTGAAGAACATGATCGCGCTGGTAAGAGTTAGGGGGCCGGACATGCATTACAAACTCGTTGAGTATGTCTTTTGAGTGGAGGCCTGAACTTTTCAGATACTGGTTGTGGATGGAGGGTGTCTCGTCTAGGGGTTTTTGTACGGCATGCACATTTGAATATGTAGCACTGACATTTAGCTTCCGTTGCTGTAGGACATCTTGACTTTAAGTGATGAAAGCAAGGTCGTTTCCGTTGGCTACAGAGGCAGTTGTGTTAAGCACGAGAAGGCTGGAAGAAGACGTTTATGATGTGTGGCATCGGCGTTCTCCAGGGTAGCGTCCCTAAACCCTAAACCCTAAACCCCGGGTTGGCACAAGTTTGGCGGTCAGTGAAATGTTCTCGGTCAGGGCTCTACTTGTCCTATTCAGAACCCCACTTATATCTAGCCATGAACCCCCAAGCTTCGACTCGAGACTAGGATTTCAGCCCTGCAACAGCTTTAGGATTTGAGTTATGCAGGTTGCAGGATAGCTTCCCACGGATCCTCCTAGCATGGGAGTCCGCATCTATGTTTCCTATTGTTTGGAGCAAGAATTTAGGCAAGCTTCCGTCCCTTTCCCTAAGGGTCCAAGGACCCAAATAATAGGGCTCTAGGGCCCACATACTATAAAAATCTGGTGAAAAAAACCTGTTACTTGGACCCTTGGGGTTTCGAACTTAATTTAGGACATCCCCAGCGTGAAAGGAATGACTTCGACCTCATGGGCGTGCAGATTGAGGCTCTCAAGACTGGCATCCTGACAAAAAGCAGTGCTTACCCTAAGGGTCCAAGGACCCAAATAGTCGGGTCCCTTTAAAGGGGGATAGATGGGGGACTATATAAGGGTCCAAGGATCCAAATAATTAGGGCTTTCGGGCCCAAATGTTATAATATTGCTGGTATTTGGGACCTAAAACCCTATTATTTGGCTTCTTGGACCCTTAGGCTTATGCTTGCAAGGCTTAGTTTCTTGGTGCAGGATGTAGAGCCGATTTCAGGGATTTCTGCGGCCCATGGAGGGACTAGGATTCAAGTTTCACTATTTGTTCCAAACTATGGGGATCCTATTTTTTTGGGCCTTGCAGCACCTTAACATGTAGCCGCAAATTATGATTTTGCCTGGGTTTCCGAGCGGGTAGAGTTTCTGATTTTTGGGTTCAGTGGCTAGTGGGGGCGCAGGATTTAGGGCTCCCAGTTGAGGATTTCAGGTTTAGAGCGAAGAGGGTGTCGTTGTCTCAGTTCATGGGTTTTGTTGGTCATGATGTGTTTGACGTTAGGGTACAGGGTTGTATACACGGCACCTAGTCTCCGAAATATGCCTTTTCGCATAGGCACCTAGGTGCATGATGCACGGGTTGACCGTATGGCTACTGTAGTTGAACTTGTTTGGGGAAGGACTGCAGGGTCTTTTGGAGATTATGCGAGGGACCTGTCTGCCGCGTTGTTGCGGTGAATGCCCTGTGTAAGGTACAGTAGGCTTTCTGTGAGGAATTCTGTTTGGTTTCGAAATACAAGGTGAAAGGGCTGCTATTTTCCGCCAATTCACGTTTTCGTGTAGGGTCCACGACTTTCGTTGCTGAAGGTTGACTACTTGTACCTATAGTCCCGCTTAAGTAGATAGAATATGGCTTTGGGTATGTGATAATAAGATCCCCAGATACCTCATATTCTATCTACGTAAGGCGGACTATAATCTAGACTTGAGAACCAATTCCGCTTCACAGGCCCGCCAGCCCTGGTTTGGAATTCAGGAGGCTCAAGGCCAAACATACTGCACTTCGGGTTAAGGTTTCGAGGTGATTTCGGTCACATCTCTTTGGACTAGTTATGTGAGGGTCCCAGGCCAGCAAGAAAGCCAGCTTGCATAGGGTATCCTAGACATGCTGGTCTCAAATTGGGCTCCAAACTATATAGTTCAATTGCAGAACAAAAGCGACTGCCGCTGAGTAGCTGAGGCAAGGCTGTCTACAAGCCCATCTACAACCACGACACGGGAAACAAGGACCTGGGTGCAAACCTTGTTGTTGCAAGGTTTTCAGGATGTTTTCTGGTCTAGTGGTTCACCTTGAGGCTTCAGGACTTAGGCCGGGTGGGGGTTGAATTTGGGCACTCAGAGTTAGGGTGGAGCATCCTAGTGCTTAAGCCTTCAGGTTTAGGGTTTAGGGTTCAGAGTTTTGGGTTTGAGGTGTAGGGTACAACTGGTACCATTGAAGTCCTTGGGGCCATACTATCAGAGAGTCCGTAGCGGATGCGCAAGGTCAAGTTGCCCCCCAAGAGGCCCAATAGGTAGCAACTGTAGCAAATCGTTGTTTTTTTGTGTGGCAAGGAGGCTGCTCGGGTCACATGTGGATGGGAGTCACTGTAGGCTCGATCGTTTTGCAATGTTTGCCGAGGTTGATCTCAAAACCCTGCGGTCATGAAGCACCGTCCTGTACACGAGATGAGATATGTGCAGTGGTAGTTATTGGCGTGACATGGAGTGGGCAAACTGAAGTGCACTGGCTGTCGTTGAAGTCGGCAGGCTTAGAAACGACTAGCTGCCTATAGACTTCCAAGTATCCCCCCAGCCCTATACTCTTAAACCCCAAATCCTACGCCGTAAAACCTAGCGCGTAAAGCTTAAACCCTAAACCCCTAAACCAAACCCCAAACCCTGAACTAAACAGCAACCCTTAAACGCTAGCATAGAGCCCTATGCTAGCATAGCGCCCTAAGCCCAAATTCCACTTGCTCGTGTTTCAGGGGGACTGAATCTAAGTTCTGGAACGGAGGTATATGTGGGTATGAGACTGGGACACTTACAGGATTCACTCTCACCTGTTAACTCTTCATATAGATATATACATATACCCCGTCATGGACCTATACTCACTGCCTTCGCACCTTTAAGCATCAGTAAGTCCATCCAGGACCCTCCTGAGCTCATTGAGCCCAACAAGATCATGGTCTTCGAGGGTCTCCATCCCATCTATGACGAGAAGGCCCTCTCGTTACTTTTGGGGGACTGGGCGCCTAGGGTAGGGTTGAGAGCTTTGGTTTGGGGATCGAGGGTAGAGGGTTAAGGCTGAAATTTAGAGCTTGGTTTAGGGGGTGAAGGGCTTCAAAGTCAAGACTTGGCTTTTGGGCTTTCTGAGGTTCTTGGCGTCCTTAATCTCAGCCCCAAGCCTCCACAAAGCCAAGAAAAGGTCCCCAAGTCACGGTTTTAGGGGTATGCCCAGACCCTCCTATGTAGTTCCTTTTTGGGTAGTACATTATTATCCCTCGCAAAAATCATAACAGATCCAAAAACGAACTACATAGGAGCCCTTACATAGGGTTGAGGTTGTAGGTTGTAGCGTTCCGGGTTTAGGCTTCAGGGTTCAAGGTTGAAAGTATAGTCTTGCCCGAGACCCACATAGCACCAATATTATTTTGAGGTCTATTCGAGTTACCCTTGAACATAATCTTGCAAGGAACCTAGGACCACCCAGGTTTCTACATTGAGTCAGTGGGTTGTCAATTCGCATATCCCAGATCATGATACTTATGCTTAGGTTATACGGAAATATGCTATGATGTACAATAATTTACTAGAATATACTATAGTAAACTAGAATATGTTACAATATGCAATGGTATACTATAATGTACTATAATGAAGGTACTCCAATATGAACAGAGAGGTTTTCAGGGGACCCCGTGTTTGAGAAACCTTCAAGTAGCCTTGCCCAAAACCCTAAACCCGAAGCCTTAAACCCTAAGCCTGAAACCGGAATAAACTGGAATCCACCACAGGAAGGGTTGAACGTTTGGCCTGGCCAGCCCGCTTTCCGACTGCACAGCAGGAGGAAAAAGGTCCGGAGAAAAAACAAAAAAACGGAATAAATCACAAGAAAACCTTAAACCCTAAACCCTAAACCCTAAAGCACACCTGCGAGGCGCGCGCCCAGCTGGACCTGGCTATTTACATTGACATCGTGCCGCTCGGTCTTCATGAAGGCTATAGTCTAAACTCCTTCAGAGGGCTATATAAAGGATGATAAGGGATTTAGGGTATACGGTTTGGGATCTAAACTCCTTAAAGGGGCTTACATAATAGTTATATAGGGGTTATATAGCGTTTAGGGTATTGGTTTGGGGTTTAGGGTCTAAATTCTTTTCAGGGGGTGATATCGCGTTTAGGGTATAGGGTTTAGGGTCTAAACTTCCTCAAGGGGGGTGACATGGGAGAGGGCTTACTAAGGGGGATATAAGGAGTTTGGAGTCTGGAGTATAGTTCATGAAGGTGCTAGAATTCTGACTAATTACCAGTAACCTTTTGAGTCTTCCCGAGGTACCCTACACCCAAGGAATCTAGGACCACAACATGGGTAGTTCTTAAGGCTTCTACCTGCAGGTTTAGAACCTCTAATTGCTAGTCATGTTTCTTTGCGGCCCTGATGCGGCCAGACGTGCTTCAGATATGCTTCAAAGCATTCTCCAGTTTTTCAGATGTTGTTCTACTTCGATTTTTTTTGGTCCCTCGCTTGTTGTATAGAATCCCGCAGCATCCAAAGTTTGTTGTCTGCCTTTCAGCGGCTCACACACTTAGTGTCTAAAGAACTGCAGGTGACATGTTTAGGGTTGAAATGTTTCACCATTTCGAGACACGTCTTGCTTGTCGCAAAGAGAAGAGGCCTAGATCAGACCAGCACTGAGGCGTTGCCGCTGCATGGACTCACCTGTCTTTTCCTTGTGTCAAGAACTCGTCCCATAGCATGTGCGGACCGTGCACGACGTCAGCCCCATCGAGGTCACAGATTACTCGGCCTCAGATCTACAAACTATCCTGGAAGCAGGCCATGGCAACTGTAGACGCATCAATACTAGACAAGCGGTCAGGCGCATGTAACAATTATACCAAAATGTCCATTATCTATAGTTGCTCTAGGGTAGCTCATCGGAGCACATTGCGTGAACAGATATTTTCAAGATTTTCAAGTATGTCCTGAATGCTGATGCGCCATGCTACCACAGACACCCACGAAACTATTGGCCAGTACAAGACAACGCATATTTTTCAACTCCTTCAAGAATAATGCCCCATGCACTTACTCAAGTACAGACTCAGCCAAACGAGCGCAAAAAAACCGCACAGCAACCCTATCCCGAAAGAATGGACAGCCTTCGCACAAAAAGCTTCACCTGATTTTAGGGTTCAGGGGGCCTAGGGCGTGATGTCTACATGTGTGAGTTTTGTGGTATGATCCGCTTCTGCCCCACAGACATCCTCTGGGTCCCCAAGACCACCCTTTTTTGAAAGACCGAGCCCTACACAATCCAGTTACAATCAATACTATTAGTAGCAGAGTAGTAGTAAGTGTAGTAGTAGTAGTAGTAGTAGCAGCAGCAGATAATGGTAGCAGAGTAGTAGTAATTATACTAGTAGTACAAAGAGATTGCATGTACACGACATCTCCACACCTGTGCGCACCAGGAACGACGTGAAGTTTGCCTGGAAGGCCGGTCAATTGCATGCTGAGAGTCTACTCTCAAATGGGTGGTCGTCAAAATTATGGTCCCTTTTTGGATCCCTATTATAATACGGCCCCTAATATTTAGGGTACCCAAAAAGGGACCATGATTTTGACAACCACCCAAATCGGGATTTAAGGTTTAGGATTTACGGCTCAGGGTTTAGGGTTAGGGTTCAGGGTTTAGGGTTTAGGGATTCAGGGATTAGCGTTTCGGGTTTAGGGTTTAGGAAGCATGGGAGAACGGTTAACTGGGTCATTGTTCAATGTGATGCTGGAGCTTTCTTGGCTGAAGCAAAGATTCGTAGTATTTTAACATAGCACCCTAAACCCTCAACCCTAAACCCTAAATAGTAGCTTCCATTTTCTTTTCCATATCCGTACATATATATGTATATATATATACATACATATACACACATATATATATATGTACATCACTCCTATATAGTACCATGGTACCCTAAACCCATATTTCCGGCAGAGATGCCCAGCAGCGCTCCAGAACCCGCCTGCAAGGGTGGGCAGAAGACCCCACAGCTAAAGCTGTTGCCTATATTTAGGGTTTAGGGTTCAGGGTTCTATGGTATTGTATAGGTATTATAAAGGGATAATGGACAGGAAAATGGAAGCTACTATTAAGGGTTTAGGGTTTAGGGTACTACGGTACTATATAGGGGTCATATAGGGATAATGCAAAGGAACATGGAAGCTACTACTAAGGGTTTACCCTTACCTTCCTATAACAGAACTAAGAAGGAACTTCATAGGAGCCCTTGGGTAGGGTTTAGGGCAGTATACTAAAACCAGGATTTGTTGGTTGCTATTCCGTGAAGGAGCCATGAACTGAGTGGCAAGTTGGGGTAATCATACAATTTAGGTTTAGGGTTTAGGGCTCCCTGTTTTCTGCATAGAGACGCTTACTCATCAATGATTACAGAGGCCTCTGACAGATGACGTACTTACCTAGTCAAGGATTCGTGGGGTCTACTTGGAGGGCCCTGGGGACTTAGTAAGAAAATGGGGATGCCTGGGGTATTACATAGCTGACAGGGATAGAGGTATTTTAGGAGGGCCCCTCCACCCTGTAACAGTGGTAGAAAAGGAAAACGAGAGGACCCAAAAATAACTGGGTTAGTGTGGCCCACCTAGAGTAGACTTCCTATGTCCACCCGACCCTCCAAGTAGGGTTCATGGGGTTTAGAGCCCAGGAGTACAGTGGACGAGTGGGGTTTACTGTTTAGGATTGGCAGCCCTACGCTATCCGCCACCTGACAGGGGCTAATGCCTAAACTCCTTCAAAGCGCCCTGCACCTTGCACCCTGAACCCTTCGAGGCCTAACAACCCCGAAGCCAAAGGTGCAGCGCGACGTGGCAGAGCGCGGATGGACTGAGGAGCAGGCGCTTAGGGTTTAGGGCTTGGGATTTGGGATTTCGGGGGGGGGAATGTACCTTCGACCTAGTTCCTCCCAAAAAGGGCTCTATAGCCGCAGTTCATGGGGATATGCGGTGCATAGGGTTTAGTGCTTGGAAATTTGGGTTTAAGCTTTGAAGAAGGTATTTGGGGAGGTGTCCTGAAGTCAGCTACGCAGATGACACTTGTGGATCTTAGGTATGCCGAAAGCGGATATGGGGACTATGACTTAGGGTTGTTGTGGGGTAATTCTATAGGCGTGTACGGTTCAGGCTTTAGGGTACCCTAAGCCCTACACCCTAAACATTGAGGGTCTAGAGATTCTTTAGGGACCCATTGATCCTTTCCTGTAAGCCATTAGTAGGAAACTCCAAAGCAGCAGTGTTCCCAGGAGACTGGGCCGGCAAAGACATTCGTACCTCAGTTTTTTCGCATCAATGAGCGAGCTGGGTGTTTCTTGATACAAAGGGGCCTATGGGGACTACGGAATCGGTGGGGCCAATGGGGACTACAACAGAATATGGGAGGGGACATTAAGAATTCCATGCAGCATTTGTTTGAACGTCTTAAATTTTGTAGGAATCAGGGGAGGCTGTGACGTTGAGATACCCAACGCAGTGGATGCAGCGCGTGATGTCTCCGCAGTATAGCCAACTCCCGACCCTTATTTCAATCATTTTTGCCAACCAAATCCCAACCGAAAAGGTGAGCCCTAAGCCTAGATCACGATACTTGCTTAAGGCCAAGCCTTGAACTCTAACCCTAACAAACATAAGTTATCTGCATAAGCCTTAAGCCATACACCCCAAAACCCTAAATCTTGGAACCCTGAAGCTAAAGATTGTAGCTTCCATTCTCTTTTCCATTCTCCCTTTATATCCCCTATATAGCTCCTATAGTACCCCAATATCTGCCCTGAAGCTGAACCCTACGCCTTGCCTAGGTACTCAGAGAGCCCAATACTTTTTATTTAAGGAATATACCCTAAAGGGTACTAGAGTCCCTAAGATGATTTAAGCTATGTTCCTTAATTGAGGAGTGGTGGGCTCCCTGGGTAAGTAGCAACCCATGTTATAAGCAACAAAGCCTTGCTGTTGCCTTTCCTTTCTATAGCTAACGCTTGTGTTACGTGATATGAGCCATAGTCTAAACTCCTTAAAGGGGGATTATATAGGGGAGTACTATAGGGGTTATTAAAGGGGATACTAGGAGTTTAGACTATGGCTCATATGTCTATCCATCACGTAGCAGCTTTCGCAGGTCCGTGAGGACATTGAGAAGCGCCTTCCGGACTTCTCCAAGTATGTGGATCCGCAGAAGGCATGTTTTTCAGTGGGGGAGGGATGGTGCATGAGTTCGGGAGGCTGGATTTTGCGCCTTGAAGGGTGGGAAGACTGTAGGTTTAGGGTTGGAGTCTAGGAAGGGAAAATCCCAAGATCTTTATGTCACTTGTCATTTCGATGGATAGCACTAATGTTTATGCCTACCTAGGTTTGGTTTAGGTTTGGAGAGTTTACCTGTAACCCCAACTAGTAAGCTTAGTCGTAATTACCCCTTTTCGAGGTATAGCCCGTAAAGCTATGGGAAATTGAGGTTACAGGTAGCGCTCAGCGTCTACCGGCTGCCCTGGCCTCCATGAATGCACCATCCAGGTGTTGTAGGATGCAGAGTAGGCAAAGTTTGGGCTCCTCTACAGGGGCTTATGTGTATTGCATAGGCCAGGGACATAACGATCGTATGTAGGGGTTTAGAGGGCTATCTGGGGTTTAGGGTTTAGGGTTATTGCTGGAGATGATATTTCGTTCATATTCCACTTAAAAAGGACTCGTCAGTTTCAAGAATATCCCCAACCAGGAATCAGATCAGGGCATAGTGAGCATGCCTTTATAGTAGGGTTTAGGGTTTAGGTACCCATCACCTAGCAAGTAAGCTACAAGTAGAGCTTGTCATAGACTCTATATGAGCCATCGTCTAACCCTAGGCATGTTTATATAAGGGCTAATATAGGGGAATGGCATAGGGGTTAGTAAGTGGGATACTAGGATTTTAGACCGTAGCTTGTATGTCCTACGCAGCAGGGCCTACGCTTGTAGACCCAGCTGACATCGCGGAGGCAAACGCTGATGTCGTCCTGCGCCAGCGCCTTCAAAATTCAGTAGCAGCACTGATTCTAACAGTTGCTAACATTTGGAGTTAGGAAAGCTGGGCAAGTTCTAAACTTAAAACCCTAAGCCAAACTGGGTCTAGGCCGGCAGGCCTGGTTCTCACAGTTCAAGATTTAAGGTTGATTAAGCTTACTGGCTGTTAGTAGGGAATGAGGCTATATGATCCCTATATAATTCCTACATTACATATTCCCCTATTCCCTACTAACCCCCCAGTAAGAAGGAGTTTTAGGACGAATGTGCTGAGAGACCTTGGTAATTCCACACCCCAAAACAGGACCCTATCAAGTCATATTATAGTCATAGGCCATAGGGTCCTTATCCCCCAAATAAAGGCTAGCAAAGCATTCTCATGAACGAAAACGTTGCTGCTGAACTTTGGGCTTGAAGTGGCTGTTGGTTTCAAGTTCCTGGTGATGGCTCACTTGAAAAGCTTGTAGCACAATAGTCCCAGCAACCCAATCTAATCCAGTCACTCAGGTTTCTGCATCATAGATTGCATGGGCAGTGACTTACGACAAGATTCCTTGTACTGTGTTTGCGTTAAATTCTGCGCCAGAGGTTACATGCAGAGCTTCATTATGGCATGAAGAGGGTTGAATCACCCTACGCAAACCTTGCCTATCCAAACAGAAAGGTCAGGGTTCCAGGGTCAGGGGTTCACGGGCTTCACGGCATAATTAGGGTACAAGGTAAAGGGTTTGGGGTGTATGGGGCGATACCAGCCCCTTCTCAAGTGTTTCAGAAAGGACAATAGTAGTTTGCGGTGTATGCAGGGGAGCCCAAGTTTTGGAAACGCTCAAATAGGTTTACTGGATTGTGATTCTTGCTTTCGCCGGTAAGGTTTGAATCGTGGCATTAAGCTACTTTTCCGTGGCAGTTGTTGTCGACCCCTTGCTTCTACAACTTCCAATGGACATCGAAGCGGCATTGTACGGGGCAAAAACAGCACTTGTTTTATTAATAGAAGGATTTTGGTAACCCCAACC